GCACTCCTATGCCCAGACGGGAGAGTTACAGCTTCTAGAAAGGTGACGGAGAAAATCATTCACATATGCTACTCGGTTTTCTTCAATAGCCACGTCCTCCTCTCATATGAAATAAAGGCAGATGGATATGTTATAACATTGTTTCTCCCTTCCGAAATCCGACATGCTATTTCGTCGGTGAAAAGTAGAACAACACCTGGACAGGATAGGATCCGAACTCTTGAAGAGCTTCCCACTAGTCCTCATAAACACACTTGCTCCGCACGTTGTACGTTACCTGTCTGAATGCAAGGTTCCTACTCAGTGAAAGATCGACGAGCTCGTGCTATTATTGAAAAAATATGACCTCCATGATATCGGCAATATCGCCTAACCTGCCTATTGTTCGTCATCTACAGACTCTTTACTCGAGTTTTCCTAAACAGGGTTGACAGAATACGGCACTAAGGACATTCATGTAAGCCATTGTTAATAGGCAGTATTTCGAAACGGATTCAGTATGACGGACCACACCCACTTGATAAAAAGATTCACTGAAGCATCACGAAAGTACAAGAGGATTCTCTATCTCGCTTTCATCGATTTCAAGAAGGCCTTTGACTCAATTTAGAGAGAAGCAGTCATGGAAGCTGTACAGCCAAGGCGCCTTTACTCCGTACACAAAGATTCTTCGTGAGCGGTATAAAAATTTTGCAACCAGGATATTACCATTCTACAATGACATAAATATCGATGTCAAAAGAGGAGTTAGATAAGACGATACTATCTCGCCAAAACCATTCACAGCCATTCCCGAGAACGTTATGCGAACACTGGAATGGAACAACAATAGGAGCGAAAATCGATGGCCAGCAATCACATCATCTTTGCATTGCTTATGGCATCGCCTTATACTAAACATTAGCCAAGCAGAACGAATACTAAACTCCGGACCACAGGTGTATGCAATGGAGAACGAACATGCGCTGTTATCTCAGCATTTCATACGAGTTATATTTCGCAACATAACCTGCCATTAAGAAGAAAAAGCCAGTAAATAAAAGAGTTAAGATTATGATTATAACTAAGCCTCAGCTTAACTGGGTTCAATGCCGATATTGGCTCCCCAGATCAACCCCGTTGACGGGGGATTGCTGATGGCAAAAAAGATCGATAGAAGTAGCTGAGATACACGCAAAGCGAAGGACCCGGATGGTGTAGTGGTGAAGTGCGCTGCTCCCCGGTAAGGACAACAGCGCATGTTCGTTCTCCATTGCATACACCTGTGGTCCGGAGTTTTGCAAATATCTCAGCATTTCATACGAGTTATATTTCGCAACATAACCTGCCATTAAGAAGAAAAAGGCAGTAAATAAAAGAGTTAAGATTGTGAGTGCGTAGTTTTCTTGTTCAGCAATCGCGAGGTTGCCATAAAGCATACATTTACTTCCATACGAAAACAGACAATACAACAGTAGATGACGTTTCAGCAGCACCGTCTTCTTCAGAGCCGTTTTTAACGTGAGTTCCACTGAGGAGGATTAGAACAAACGATTATATGGTTGGTGACTGCCAAGTAGACGAAGCATTTATAATCCAATGCCGAGGTTAATAGAACGTCGTTCCTGGGAACTGTTACACGAATTCAATGACAATAAGAGAAATCGTCGCAATGAAGTGTCATCGGCTCCAGAATAATGTGGCATGCAACAAGAAATGGATCTTCTATCTTCTATGATAACTGGCTACGATCGGACAAGTGGTTGGATAGCCATGAAGCCCCACAGATTTTTCAAAAGCAGAAAGTGTACGGTAAACTCGTACTGACCATTTGCATTTCTAGCTGGTTTTATCTATCTAGAATCCTGAATCCTAATAGCACGATTGCGGTGGAAGCCCACTATTTGCCACATGTGCCAGAAACTTCGGCGGCTTCACCTTATATTGCTCACCGGAAAGGTACTTGTCTTTCTGAACGATAACATGCTACTACGCGTTGTACAAGGGACGCTGCACAAATTGAACGACCTGGTCTACCAAGGCTTTGCGTCATCGGCCTTGCATACCAGACTCTTGCCTACGGAAAACAACTTCTTCAAGCATTCCGACAAAGCCTGTTCGAGAAACGCCTGAATAACAGATCTGAAGTCCGAATTGCCACTAACTAGTTGGTCTGCCCAGAAGTCTAGAATTTTATTCAGTTGGTTAAATAAACATTTTCACTGTAAGATGTATGAATTATAATCGTTTTTGTTTTTTGTTTCGACAACTAAAGATATCCGAGCAGGGACATGACACTTTAAACATCACCTGTATCACATGTAGTCCCGTTGAGCAGCGAGTAACTCGAGCTGGCTCTAGTAGATCTTCCATTTTTCCCTGTCGCGGGCAAGAGTAGCCCAGTGCGTTTTGCTCGCTCTAGGAACTCGTTGAGAATCATTCCTTTCTTCGAGACTCTTTGTGAAGAGCTCTCACCATCGGGTCGGTGATCTTTCTGCAGTGCGTTTGACATCGCGAGGAATTCAGTCACTAACGGCCCTTCCCCATCGGTTGTCATTCATACGCATTACGTGTCCGCCTCACCTTATCTTTGACTGTTTGGCGTGCAGAACGGTACCTTTGGTTTTTGACCGCTGACGCAGACCGGAGCTTCGGATCCCATCCTTTACTTGTGTGGAACGGGATACTCCTAGCATAGTCTTTTCGACTGCGCGTTCGATAACGCTGGGTGATCCTTCGCCTAGCTTAGGCAGCGACCACGTTTCTGACGCATACGTTAGGGCAAGAAGTACCGTTGCGTCGAAAAGGCGGGCACGGAGTCGGGCGTTCTTTGTTCTCTTTGTTCTCTTCACTACATCCTCAATGCTCTTGTAAGCTCCTCAAGCCGTTCGTTTCCTTCCGCTCAGCTCTGGAACTGAGTCGTTTATAATATTGATTTCTCGACCTAGATAGACATAACTGGAGCATTCGGAGATATTTGTTCCGTTGAGCGTGAATGAGGAATATGAAACCAATCCGTTCCTCATGAATATCGTTGTTGTGAGATTTAGTCAAAGAATTCGAAGAGCAATCTTTCCAAATTCTTTATCAATGTCGGCAAGCATACGTTCCACTCGGCTAATCTTTGGTGTTACAAGGACGATGTCAGCAGCAGCGTCCCTTGTACAACGCGTAGTAGTGGGCGCGGAGCCGGGTGTTCTTTGTTCTCTTCACCACATCCTCGATGCCCATGAGAGATCCCAAAGCCGCTCGTTTCCTTCTGCTCAACTCTGAAGCTAGGTCGTTCATCATATTAATTTCCTGACATAAATATATAACAGGAACATTCGCAGATATTCGTCCTATTGGGCGTGAACGGGGCATGCGAAACCAATCCGTTCCTCATGAATATCGTTTCTGTGAGATTTATTCGAACACCAATCTTTCAACAGGCATTATCAAAGTCCGCAAGCATTCGTTCCGCTGGCTAATGCTTGATGTTATAAGGACGATGTCATCGGCAAAGCGAAAATGGTGTAATTGCTGACCATCGAGTTTCACTCCCATATTATCTCATTCCAATGCTCGTATGACGTTCTGGAGGGTGGCGGCAAATAATTTTGGAGAGATGGTATCGCTTTGACTAACTCCTCTTTTGCCGTCAATGTTAATATCGTTGCAGAATGGAGACACCTTCGTTGTGAAAGTTTTGCACAGCTCACGAACAATCTTTATGTACTGAGTAGGGACTCCGTCGATATCAAGGGCTTCCAGGACTGCTTCTATCTCAACTAAATCAAAGGCTTTCTGTAATTCGATGAAAGTGAGACAGAGCGCTCCTTTGTACTCTCGCTATACTTCAATGAGCCGTGTTACCGTATGGATGTCGTCCACCGTAATAAATCCTTTTCGAAACCCTGCTTGCTGACATGGCTGTCCTTCGTCTAGTGTCCTGTCGATCCTGTTTAGGATGACTCGAGTGAGAAGTTTGTAGACGATAGACAGTAAGCAGATTAGGCGGTAGTTGTCGATATCATGTAGGTCACCCTTTTGAACAATAACACGGTCACGCTGGTCTTCCACTGAGTAGGGACCTTGAATTCTGTGAGGTAACGTGCGAAGAGCCAAGCCACTGTGTTTACGAGCACTGGCGTAATGGTCTTCGGGTGTTCTGGTCTTATCCTGTCCGGACCTGGTGCTGTTCGATTTTTCGCCAACGAAATAGCATGATTTCGAAAGGGAGAACTGGTGGTACAACATATCCATCGTCCTTTATTTCGTATAACGGTATGTGGACGTGGCTATCAAAGAGATCTGAGTAGTATTCGTGAATGATTTCCTCCATTGTCTTTCTGGGTGCTATAGCTGTTCCGTCTGGGCCTCAGAGTGCAATCATCTTTGCCCTGTAAATGGCGAAACTTTAGTGGGCTTTGCGAATGCTTTTCCATCATCTGGCATTACTGCTGCTCTGCTCTCTTTAAGAGCTTCTTTTATCGCCTGTCCACATTGTTTTGCAAGTTCGGGAGCCAGTTCGCTGTTGTTTGTAGTTCGTGCGACTCCAAGCTGGCGGTTTTGGAATTTAGCGGCTTTTTCTCCTTTCCGCGAGGAATAGAATCTTTCACGAAGGAGTCGGTGGTCTGATACTGTGTAGAATTTTGGGACAACAGCGACATCGGTTAGGCAAAACCTTCTGTTTACTAAAATGTGGTCTACTTCGTTACGGTGCTCTCCAAGGGGAGATTCCCACGTCTAGCGTTGAGGGTGGGGCTTCTGGATTTGCGAGTTACCATGGATGGTCTTGGTCTCTATGATAAACTCAGATAGCCGCTCACCCTGTTTGGTCCATTCTATGCCATTCTATGTGGGTCCTTATGTGTTGTTTTTTAGACTTTCTTCTTAGTCCAATCTTGGCGCTGAATTCTCCAATGGTGACCTTGAAGAATGTATAGGCTTCTATGTAAAACTTCTCCAAGTCCATATAGTACGCTTCGGCTTCTTCTTCGTAATAGTGTGATGTGGGCGCCAAAAACGACGAAGATGGTCTAAGCCGGTGCTGATTCACATCTTTTTAATCGTAAGCGTCTGATTCGGGTTGCAAGTTGTTCGAATGAATCGGTGTTCATGGACAAACTCTTGTTGACGAGGACGCCATCGCCACCGACTCCTCTACTGTCGCATTTTCCGAGGGACAGTTCTTCCCCGGTGCCATAGCCGGCGTTGAAAGGCCGACGTCTTCTCGTCTCGACCAGACCGATGACGTCATACTTTATCCCTTTTGCTTGCATGAGCAAGTCTTCTATCGAAGGCTCGGATAAAAGTGTAGGTGCATTGTAGGAACAGATCGTCATCATAGTTCTTTGAAATTCAGGCAACTTCAATTGACCCCGAGATTTCAGCAGCCTCTCCGTACTCGTCCTACCCAACGCTGTGAGATTTGGGGTTCTTTCGGGGCCAGGGGAATGAAGCCCGTTTTTTTTTGTTCGTAGCTTTTTGATACCCACGTGTAGCTTGCTGGGCTCTGAACGTGGGGACTGGGTATACTCACGAGTAGCTTGCCAGTCTCACCCAAAGTGGACATAGAGCTTATTTCTTGGAGGCGACTCCTAATCGTCTCCCATATACTTCCCAGTCACCTGATTGCAGACTTTTGGCCGAATTGACTCGTAGAATACAATCCGCATAGGCAAGAACGCACTCACACACCCACATGCATGAATACACCTAGCAAATACAGTAAGTATGTGCCAAATCAAAGCAGTAGAAACAAGGAGTCCATCCCCTGGATCTACCTGCGTCTCAGGAAAGCAAAGGTCGCTTTTGATCTGCGATTAACCCCTTATCCACTACCTGGGGACGCGCCACGTAGCGTCGCAACTAACTGGCTCGAAATCTCTCACATGAGGGAGATCCGTGAAGATGACACTTTAAACACATAGATGGAAATCCTGCAAAAATTTCTCGGCAACCTAATACCATAGAGTGTCTCCTCACGTGTCATCCATCAGATAAAAACTATTCAGCAAAATAGAAAAAAGAAGTTGTTTACCACTGTTGCTTACCAGAGAACTCCAATCGACATTGGTTTTGCACGGTTTCGTTGAACTCTAATTTATAACCTAGTATTCTCGTTTGCAGCTGCCGTTAGAAATACCTGGATGAAAATCCATGTCCATAGAACGAAAAGCCGGGGTCGGACTACAAATTACAACGCTCCAGAATGAAACAAATAACAGAAGTAGTTCAGCTGCTTTAGTAAACAGTTTTCTTTTATAGCAAATCCACAAGAACGCGACGTTGAGAGCAAAAAATAAATGGTTTACGGACGATCTCTTCAACAAAATCACTGATGTGAACAATCAGATTATATTATACCGCAATGGCATATACAGTGAGTTTTCTTGCGAATGAAAAGCTTTAACACCGCTCGGTAGATACGACACGCTGAATCCTAGTCAGACATACGAATTGAAGGTATGTGGTGCATTTTTTTTTTGCGCAACCCGCCTTTTACATCTACTGCGGGATCTCAGCACTTTCCACGTTTGATTTGTTTCCTCACATTCATCAACCACGAAGAGCTTCCAACTTTTACGTGTGGCCTCGGCTGCTGCTTAAGGATTTTTCTTTTATTACGAATGTCATTGAGTGCTCGTCGAGTCGATTCTCCCTGAAGTCTTGAGATAGCCGGGCGAGTTGAATCAGTGCCGTGCTCGTGATGATCGCATCACTGCAACTGCGCTACCCTCCCTCTTAATGGCAGTATAATTGTGACCCATTTTCACTTTACTACAAAAGGTTTTATAAGTGGAAGTAGAAGTAGTTCGAAATTTTTTTCTTGATTTTCCAAAAAGACGATTTTATATTCCTAAGACCGACTTTCTATTAACCTCGGCATTGATTGATAATTCGACGTTTTTCTTCAATAAGCAGAAATGAGGTTGTTACTACAGAATTTGTTAGGATACAATAGCTGACGTTTCGGCGGTTTCACCTTATTCAGAGCCTGGAAACGTCAAATTGAAATGCGATCTACTCAGCCAAACACTTTCATAACACTAGCAGATAAAACTTGACAAATAAATTTGCATTCGCATAAGAACAGCTTCATTTAAACACTTATCACTTATTTGTTGTAAGTATGTAAGTTAGTTGGCGGATAGCAGCCGCGCAGAGTAATTCATGAGCGAGGACTGCGGCTGTGTCAGGTTATTAGATCAGCCTGAGGTATGGCGTCAGGTCACCTGATATCCACCAACTAACTTACATACTTACAACAAATAAACGATAGGTGTTTAAATGAAGCTGTTTCATAAGCGAATGCAAATTTGTTTGTGAAGTTTCAACTGCTAAAGTTATTAAAGTGTTTGGCTGGGTTGTAACGAAATGGTTAGCGGCGAAGTGTAGCGGTTCAGATTGATGCAGAATATTAACCACGCGGGTGTTTTAGCTGCTGTAGTTGATCTGCCAGCCTCAAACTTGGGTAATTAAACCTTTGATACATAAATACAACACTAATTACATAATAGTAACGATAGAGAAGTAATGGTAGAGGAATGAGACAAGTTAGAGCTCTGAGGTGCTAAGGCCTGTAGTGAAGTGAGGCTAAGAATGAGGCAATGGCATTCAAACATTATTATACCATTAATACAATATTAACAATAATAATGAGATTACAACGAAGTAGCCTTTGGTTAGCCGTAAGCGATGCCGCACCGCGTCTATCCGCGGAGGTGCGGCGGCTGAGGGAGACAGTATGCTAGGGGCGGAGAAAGGAGGTTGTATGCCGCGGAGAGGGAGACAGTATGCTGAGGTGGTGAGCGTTACAGACTGGCCGTGTTTTCGGCTGAGCTAAGATTTCAACATTATAGCGATGTGGAGCATTTTAGTGGATCGATGAGGACTGTAAGTTACATGAGCGTTGACGGTGCTATGGACAGTGAATGATGAGTCATCTACGGAACACAATTAGGCGGCTGGGCGTGAATAACGCTATGTCAGCAACGTGAACTTTCAGCATCGATGGGTGCCACCATTGCCTAAGGGTAAGAGCCAGTAAGATAAATGGCTACAAAACTGATAAGCCTATAGCGGCTTAGCAGAATACATAGCATAAGTTGGCCGCATAGCGGCATTGTACACATTGCGTGTACATTGTGGGAGGAATGGTACATGCCACCGATGGCGTTGCAAACAGAACGCATTTGGCAACACCCGCCACTACTGACATCGCACCGTAGACAAGCTGAGAAACGAGACACAATAATCAGCTGATTACTGAAGGATGAATGTGAATGTGTGAATGAATGTGACTGAATAAGAATGAATGAGTATGACTAAGAATAAGTTGAGGTGATTGAGGATGTAAGGTGAGTGATGGCATGTCTCCGCCGTCGAAGGCACCTGGCTTATAACGCCTGCGGGAGCCGCGTGCGTATGCAACCGCGGTTAATCTGGATTGTTGATCCTGGACCGCAATAGACTGTACCTAACTGCCTGAAACATCAAACGTCATTAGCTTCGTTGTTTCGCAAGGAAGCAGTAGACGGTTCCATGGTTACGCCTCCTTCGAATAAGCCATCGTCGCTATGCTACTGAAGTCAAACCTGAATTGCTATTGTGCCTGAAACACTGAACATAATTGATCGAGAAGATTACAAAGGTTATATTGCGGTCCTTGATGTGCGACTGCGAGGCGGCCATATTTGGGCTTCAAATACTATTATTTAGATAGATAGAGAACTTTTCAAGAGAGAAGTTCTCTATATGGGTAGATCGCATCTCAGTTCGACCTTTCCAGGCTCTGAAGAAAGCGAAACCGCCGAAATGTCAGCTATTGTATCCTAATAAATTCTATAATAACAATCTGGTGTCTACTTATTAAAGAAAACATCAAATTTTTGTTCTTTTTTTTATTTTTTCACGACCCAACACCATATGTTGTGCTATTCCGAGCAGCTCTTCCATTCGACTCGTTTCCTCTCTCCCCTGTCATTTACAAAGGTGTTCGCATTTTTACATGGGATCAAGTGTGGATTTTAGGATTTTCACTTCTCTATAAATGTCATTAAATACTGGTTGAGTAGATTCTCCTCGAAACCCTGGAATAGCTGTGCCAGAGCGCTACTAGCTGTTCCTCACGGGTAATCATGAACCTTCGTGGATAATTCCCACCCAGGCGGAATGTAAGGCAGAGCTGGATTGGCTTAGGGTCGAACCAGGGCTATGCGTTTATTACTGATAACCTCCGGCTATCATTGCTTGCTTGGAAATTACAGGACAGAAATGACATCACCGTAAGTTTCTTCGCGAATATCTTTAAAATACAAGAATATGAGCTTCATATCATAAAATAGCTCGCTTTTCAGATAGGACTCTAATGATGAATAACCTCGACATTGGCCAGGAAATCCAGAAAGTTAGAGGTGGCTCGTTATTCAACGATATCAACTCACGAATGAGTTCGAAACTCGACTGTATCAACAGTGCAAGCCCCAAATGCATTTGGATCAAGCCTCTTAAGTACTACGTGTATTCGGCGGTGTGTTGTTCTTCCTGTTTCTCAAATAGAATAATAGAAGTACTACATCTACAAAAGAAACATGTAGTTGTATCTTCATCAACATAAACCCCATTCAGCGAATAGAGTATAGACCTTTGAAGCCAGTGGGTGTTTAACAAATGAGGTTGACTACTACAACAACGATGACTGCGATAGAACATCTCCTTCACTTTTTCTTTTCTGGTCTTCCTTGCTTTGATTGAAATGCTCCAGAGAAGACGGTAGTCGGTGATGGAGTCACGTGATCGCCGAGATCACTCATGGTTCAAGAAATCGCGCCAGTTCATCAGTTTCTGTGGAAATGCACAATCGTTAGATGACGACGATAGATTAGATGCTGAAGATGAGATTAGCTTGCACTACTTTTTGCTTTTTTTTCTAAAGTGCCACACGAGAGTTTTATTGTTGTCGCGGTCTCAGTCCCGAAATTTGGTAATCAAACCTTCATAAAAACAATATCAGTAGAACACTAACGAAATTACGAAACCAGTAGCGTCATATAAGTAGTGTGGCAACAAGGAAATCCATATAGGTGGATAATATGAAGAGGGTGGCGGTGCATTATTAATAAGAGGAAGATACTTTTGCAATGGATTGATGTGGTAATATGAAGAACAACAGATATATCATACAAGTAGAACAAAAGCTAAAGTGGGGTGTGAATTGATAAGGTCACTATGGCATGCAGTATTACCATGTTCATGACAGATGAGGCTGGGAAGGAATCCATTGTAGCCAGGAACTTGTCGGTCAATCAATGGGGAGTTACCATAAGCAATAGCGTTTTGTGGT